TATATATATATATATATATAGAAAGTATAATTTAAATTATAATGTGTGTGTGTATATATATATATATATATGTATGTGTGTGATTTATATACTTTTATAAATTAAATAGAATATTAAATTATGATTTTTATAATTTTATAACACCTGTATTTTTAAGAACCTTACATTATACAGCTATTTTGGTTATATATAAGAGGGAATAGAAACTGTCTTTGATTTTTTTTTATGCATATTAATGCAGATTAGTATTTTAATTTTTTTGTGAATATTTCAAATGAAACCTTTAGGTCTTACATGTGTGATATTTGAGAAACTCCTCCCAAATGATGAGGTAATGTCATGTGTTTTGTCGCAACATCTTCATTCACATATCTAATTTATTGCATTGCGGGACAAAAGTTCAGGTGAAGAACTGCAATACTACTTCAGCAGATTTTAACTGCCTTCGATCTATCATGCGCTGACATCAACAGCAGAAATATGGAAACCTGATGACTGTGAGATTTGAAATATGACATTGTGTCATACCATCAATCTGAATGTGTCTGAACTTGCTGGAGTATCATGTCCCCCTCAACAAAATAAGCACTCTTGTTGTAAGCTCCTGCTAAGCAAGGTCCTAATCACTACAGATCTGTATTTAGTCCTCATGCACACTCATGCACACACTCACATAATGCACATTGTTCTTTTTTTATTTCATTTCAAAAAGCGCAGCCACAACTCTGCTGTTGTTCCATAAAAATTAATACAGTCTGCACAAAAGTGACTTGCAAAAGAGAAATAAAAGCAATTAATCAGAACACCAACAATAATCATAATATACCATGCCAGGTTTATTAGACAACTAGATTCGGATTACACCAGTATATGCACTCTGAAAGTGAGGGTTTTTTTACTCCGCCATTGAGTTTTCCAGCCTGTAAGTGTAACTCCTGCGCACCATGTGAAGCACTGAGGATATTTTGGGGGACTGATATCATTGAGATCTCTCTGCTCACTAGAGAGGGGTCAGATCCTAATTCAGAAGCTGTAATATTTCAAACCAGATGTTCAGGAAAACCAAAACACATTTTTGTGGATCTTGCCATTAAGTTGCTAAGTCACAAGTTGAGGTTCACTGATGTTCTTTTTTTTTAGTATGTCTGTCTTGTTTTCCAGTACAAATATTGAAACATTATTAAATCGAGATGCATTTAATGGAGATGCACAGTGACTTAAGAATTCTTGTTTTCTGAGAGACAGATCAAAATGAAGTGTTTATGCTTAAAACAAGAACAAATACCTGCCAGCAGAGTCAGAAAACAGTATATGACAGACCCCACTGTCATATATTTGTTCTTGTTTTTAAGCACAATCTCACTTCATTTTGAACCGTTTCTCAGAAAACAAGACTTCTTAAGTCATTTGCTTCTCATGTAATTGTCTTGATTTAAAAATAGATATCTGTACTGGAAAATGACAGAAATTCATGGTTAGAAAATTGTTACTTTTTATTTATTTATTTATATTTTTTTGCAGTTTAAATGTGACTGTACATGTATCATTTTACGCCAGCAACATGTCAGATTCTTCAATGCAAGCACTTTCTGGAAGTTTTGCAATTTATGCAAAACAAGACGGTTGCTTGCAACACAGAATATGTGTTAATCCTACACTAAAATCAATAATGAAGTCATTTTTATCTCGGCGTGCCGCATGTCATGCAACCCTCAGGGTGGATTTGCTCCGCCCGTCTGTCCGCCACACTAGGACACACTGACATCATGCCTGTGGAATGTCAGCCAACCAGGTCTGCACTAATTCAGTCAAGGCACTTCACGTCTGCTCGCCTTTTCTTTTTCTGCATGGCCTGGAAACTGGCTTTCACTTTGGCTTGTGATGTCATAAAGCAGTCTAATCAGTCGTGGGATGTTAAAACCTCATGTCAGAGCATGTTCGCCTCGCCTGCATGGTGCCGGTGCACTGGGTGCTAGTCAAAACTTCTGGGGTGCATATGTGTGTGCGTGTGTATCCCGAAGAGGAGAGACGGCCTGTTGGCCACCCGCGTGTTGAGCGATGATGTCATGCTGCTTGGCGGTTGCTTTTAATAGCTGGAAACAGGCAACCCTTGAGCTGGGCCTTAAAGGGCCAAGCGCTCCTTTTAAACAAAGCATGTTGCAGATTTGAATATTCGGCTTGTGCTTGTATATAATCAAACCTGAATGAGTGAGTGGTTTGAAACAACTTCCTGGTAGCTTGTTGAACTCTTGGCATGAAGTCAATGGCCTGGGGTCACACCGGTGTGAATCGAATAACACTGACACTTTTTTCCGTGTCAAGAGCGGGTCATGATGTCATTTGTGACTCACGTGAAAAGGTCTTTTAAACAGGTCTGTTTGGTTTGACTCACATAGCATATCTAATGGCCTTGCCGAATGATGTCATGTGAACATTACATTGAAAAGTCCAAAACTCTTTGTCTGCTGTGAACTGGGTTAGTAAATGTTGAATTGGATGAAATGAATAATTGCCTTCTCCAGTCACATGCATCTGCTTATGAGTCTTCATGCCTATGAGCTCATCTGCTTTTAATGCCTGTATTCAAATGTTTCGCGTCTTCTGTCGCTATTTTGTTTCTCAGTCTCTCCCTGTTTCGTAACAGTCATTCTCCCATCTTGATTTGCATGTGCCTGTATGTCTCGGGCAAACTCAAACACTAATTCAACGTGATGTCATTGCCCTGTCTGCTGGCTTTGAGGTAACATGCCTCAGATGTTTAGATGAGCGAGTACTGATTCCAAATCAGCAGTTCCTTTTTTTGTCTTTGTTTCAGTTGTTTAAAGGAATAACACACTCACATTGTGAATTTGAATAGTGCTGTTTTAGGATTGAGGTCACCAAATAAAGAGACTAAAAATGGTTTCATTTGAGATCCCAAAATAATTGCAGATGGAAATAAGGCTAAATCTGGTACAATGCATTAAATGGAAAATAGTTACGTTAAAACAGTGTACATGGTCCAAACAAACAAATAAATACTGAGGCCAGTACATGAGTATGTGTGAGTGAGTATTTATTTTGAACTTTATGCAAAATTTTAATTACACGCATATGATATGAGTTGCATGCAATCGCATTTTATGGAGCAAACCTTTCTGTCAGGCTGCTTTGGAATGATATTTATTGTGTGGTATATATTTAGAAGTGCTATACAAAAAAAAAAAAAAAAACATTTAAAACATGAAAATGTTTCAACTATATTCTAATACTGCTTAGAAAAAAAGTTTAAATAAATTTTAGCACAATGATGTATAACATCCAAAAGTCTATAATATCACTTTTGGGGGTCCTTAGCAATAAAACGTTTAAAATCCTCTACTAGACTATATGATTATAGGCCCGTTCACACAAGAACAATAAGTGTCTACTTCAATTTATGATACCATTCTGTTTATTATAAACTGATTTGCCATCAAATGATTGAGCAGGATGGATTCTGATTGGCTGTCAATATTTTTATCGTTCATCAGCCGGGGGAAAAAATCATTCTGTGTGATTCCAACGATGTTGTTCCTTTGTTCCAGGAGTTGTGGTGTGGACTTGCTATTCTTTTAAGTGTAGAGCTATTTTTTAAAATGTCTTATTGTTATCGTCATAGTTATGGCCCATGGTATGAACGGGCCTTTAGAAGCTGGAATCATTCACAATGAATGTGTGTGTGTGTGTGTGTGTGTGTGTGTGCTTCCTCTGAGCTCTGGTTGGGTGTCAGTGTTCCTGTGGCCTGCCTCATTCCCACTGTGTGATGCTGGTCACAGGGAGAGGAGATGAAGAACCAGACACTGACACCCTATCTGCCTCGTAAAGTGGCAGAGCTCAGCTTTCACCAGCCCATTGCTTTTCTCATTTCCTTTTCAAAGACAGGGTTAGCCACTCTTGCAACCCAGCAGTAGTGTAGACCAATACGCTAGCTATAGCGGTTAGAGGCTGGTTTGCTTGAGTGAAAAGCATGGGTTCAGAGAGTGTAAAGACTGATTTCTTCATCCTGGTGGAGGGTCATCTACTGTACACGAAGTGTGCTGGATATGCTAGTGCAGGATGTCTCTGCTGTAGCGGAAAAGCTTCTTGGCCCCTGTGGAGTTTGTGTTTGGGCTTCATGTGTAATTCAGTCGGTTAGGATGTTTGGAAACCCCCTTCATTGTTACTATTATTCCATTCTTACTGTAAGTAATTGAGTTTACAGCAAACCGTGTGTGTAAGAACAATGTACACATTATATTTTATGGTTGTTGTTGTGTTGGTCTGCCCTCTGAATCATATCCGATTATATTCAAACTAAAACAGTTCTCTTCTTCTCTGTACTCTTTCAGGTGGCTTTGCAGCTTTCTCTTCCTGTTTTCCTGACCTGTGTGAGAATAAACCAGCCACTATTCTACCTATCAGTCTGTCCCAACCCTGTTTACCTGTGGCCAATGTTGGTCCCACCCGCATTCTGCCCCACCTGTACTTGGGCTCCCAGAGAGACGTCCTCAATAAGGTTGGTAGACCTCAAAAATTAAATTAAAATGTAAAAAAATAAAAAAATCTATGACTTGGTTTGCTGTATAACTATCACCTACAGACCCCTTGAATATCGTCGTATCAAGAAAATGCTTTCAGTTTCTAGCGCTCAACAATTCCTGTCGTGAAGACATAACAAATTCATCTTTCATCATCAGATAACCAGGAATAGTTTTCTTTTACCTGGAGGGTGTTTGCGCATACCTTGGAACAACTGAATTGTAGCGTATCTCATCACTTACTTAGATAACAGGCAGCTGAATGCATTCCGGGAAAATACTTTCATTGATGTTGGGTTGTTAGCCCTGTCAAATTGACATGAAACTCACCACCAAAACATTTTTTTCTTGACAGATAATCTTTTTACATATTTCTCCTTTACAATAGCTTTAGCATGCGTGACAGACTCACTGATACAGCCGGAATCTGCTCAAGGAAGATGTTGGATTTTTTTTCCCTTTAGTTCTATATTTGTCGGTGGAATTCTGGAGAATTGGTCTGTCTGTATGAACTTCTTCATAACTTCCATCTTTTAACAGGAACTGATGACTCAGAATGGAATCACCTACGTTCTAAATGCCAGCAACACTTGCCCCAAACCTGACTTCATCAGCGACAGCCACTTCATGCGCATTCCCATCAACGACAGCTACTGCGAGAAGCTGCTTCCTTGGTTGGAAAAAACCAACGAGTTCATTGGTAAGAACGTCAGACTTTGTGGTTTGCTGAATGGACAATGGAGTAGTCTAGAAGCAAGTTTGTAAGAAGTTAGAGAACTTAGAACCTCTAAGGTTTGGGGTTTTGTTAACACGAGCCATCTGTGCATCAGCATTTAAGGGAAGTATGAGTGATGTCAGCGTTTGAGGTTGGCGAGTGAGATGACCTCATGCTTTGTGTGCAGTTTAACAGTGGAACTGCTTTTGACTGGTTTGCTGTTCCTCTCTATCCACAGACAAAGCCAAGGTGTCAAACTGCAGAGTCATCGTCCATTGCTTGGCTGGCATATCCCGCTCTGCAACCATTGCCATTGCCTACATCATGAAAACTATGGGCCTGTCTTCAGATGATGCCTACAGGTAACTGCAGCTCTTTGGATGTTCAGATGCTCTATGGAGTGCCAGACCAAGCCTAGACCAAGGTCCAAGGTTGTTTGCTTCCGGTCTAACTGGTGGAACAGCATAGTCGTATTATTCACCAACCAAAAATGCTGGTTATGAAGCCTGGTATCATCCAAATCACAATATTGCTTTTGTCAAATAAAATCTGGCGTTTAGCTGTTGTGTTTTGAATTGCGGTCCCCACCATGAGATACTGGTATTCTTAACAAGCTTAATCAGCAAGCCTCTGTTGGTTTACCAGCATAGTTGTCTGTCTGTGTTGGTCTACCAGCTAGATCAAGACAAGACCAGCAATTGCATAAATGTCTCTAGACATAGCTAAGAATAGAAAACCAATGGCAAAAAGAATTGAATCCAATGACATTCAATTTAATTTGTTCATATCTTATGTACTTTCTGTAGGTTTGTGAAGGACCGTCGGCCGTCAATATCTCCGAACTTCAACTTCTTGGGAGATAGATGTAGAGTTATGATGGTCGGTACAGCAGATGGCAGAGGTCTGCCCTAACAGAACTGATGAATGGCAGATGATGTCATATATATATATATATATATATATATATATATATATATATATAAAAATTAACAACAATCCCCTGCAACAGATTACAGCGCTGAGGTTCATTTCCAAATATTAAAGTTGCAATCAACATCTAAATCTAATTGTGTATAAGTGACGTTCATTAGTAAGTGTTAGAGTAGGTGTTGTTTGGAGGAGACAGATTTGTGATGCTTTGTTTTAGACTTTCCATTAAGCCGCTTGACAGGCTAAGATTTGTGTTCTGTATTC